TTGTGGTTCCATACTTGTGGGGCTTGACGCAGTCCGTAAAGTGCTTTGTTTAACTTATACACCATCCCTTCGCTTCCTTCTTTTATAAAGCCTTCCGGCTGAGAGACAAAGACCTCTTCTCTAAGTTCTCCGTGTAAAAACGCGGTTTTTACGTCGAGATGATGCACTTCCCAACCTTTAGACGTGGCTAAGGCAATGATGAACCGGATCGTCTCGATTCGAGCCACAGGGGCAAAAACCTCGTCAAAGTCGATTCTATGTTTCTGCACATACCCCTTTGCGACTAATCTTGCTTTATATTTGTTGATGCTACCGTCTGAGTTGCGCTTAATCTTGAATACCCATTTTAAGCCAATTGGTTTAGCTCTGGTTGGTAACTCCACTAAATTCCATGTTTTGTTTTTTTCAATCGAGCTTAGTTCTTCTTTGCACGCATCTCTCCAGACCTTTAGCTCTTTTGCTTCGCCATAATTCCAAGGTTCGTCGTTTAAAGATAGTAGTAGACGTTCTCCTTCCTCCTCTGCTAGAAGCACAAAATCGTTCAGATACTTTGGTTTCACAACTGGTCGTGTCGATCTTCTTAACACAGGTTGGGTTTCTTCTGTCTCTTGTTCACTTTGAATTTCGTCCATGACCTCTACTCCATTCTCGGAATTATTATCATGATCGGGCTCTGTTTCATTAGCCTTCGAGTTCTCTTAAGCCGTTGTTTCCAAAGTCCCCAAAACTTACATTGAATGATCCTGGAGCCTCTGTTTTGTCACGTGAATCACTCCAGTTCCATTTTTTTGTTTCATCAAAAATCACGTCTCTGCTTACTGTTACTCTCCGGGTTCAGGGATCAAATAGTCGATAGGCTTTACTCCCTGGTTCAGTTCCGAGATGTACCAAAGCTCGAGATCTGTCGTACAGCTTCTTAAGATGCTGTGATTCAACCTTTGCATAACCAATACAACCAAAAACACGTAAGTGTTCTAAGTTTGGTTTCTTGCTTTTAAACATCTCGTATGGTGTCTTATCATTCAGCGATCTTGTAGCGACTCTATTAATCAGGTAAGTGGCATGTCTCACAGCTTCCCCCCAAAGGTAATTTGGTACATCCATGTGTTTTAAGATACTCCTTGTCATCTCAAGTAAAGTTCTGTTTCTTCTTTCCACCACGCCGTTCTGTTGCGGTGAGTATGGAGCAGTCAAATGTCTTTGAATTCCACCTTCTTCACAGAACCTCATGAACTCATAAGACACAAATTCACCTCCTCTATCTGTTCTAAACATCTTGATCTTTGTTCCAACTTCTTGCTCAGCCAGGGCTTTAAACCTTTTGAACGCGTCATATGCATCACTTTTTTCTTTTAAGAGCAGAGACCACATGTACCGGGAATGATCATCAATAAGCACAAATATATACTTATTTTGTGCAGCCGTTGCAGGTGTGATAGGACCACAAAAGTCTCCGTGAACCAGATCAAGTGGTTTTTCAGCTCGGAATGCAGTTGCATTCGGAAACGTCTTCCTTGTTTTTTTCCAAGTAAACATGATGTGCATGTCTCTTTGGCAAAGCTCATGGTTGGTATTCCAATGACTAACCCCTTTCTCACCATTGACTCCATAGTTTTAAGGTTGATATGGCCTAATCTCTCGTGCCACCTTGTTGAGTTATCAGTTTCTGAGACTTGTAGACACTTAGTACCTTCGGCTTCCATATGAACCTTGTAAAGCCTGTTCTGCGACCTGTTTGCCTTAACTAAAAGTTTACCATCACAGTCATGTAGAGTGAGGTAGTTCTTCCTCATCTTTACTTCACACCCCGCCTCCGTGGCTTGTCTAAGACTGAGAATGTTACTTTTGAGGTCTGGAATCCAGTAAACATCGGCCAAGATCTTTCGGTCACCCGTCTTGGTGACAAACATAAGAATCGATCCTCTTCCCTTGATGTCGACCCGTGAATCATCGCCAAACCTTACCTTCCCTGTAACAGTCTCGTCTATCTTGGTAAAGTAAGCTCGATTTCCAGTCATATGGTTGCTGGCTCCATTGTCTAGGTACCAGATGTTGTCTCCCACTGTTTGATTCTCATAGTTGCGTGGTTTAACCTTCTTCTCATTGAGAAGCACCACCTCATGCATCAGTAACTCATCAGTGTCTTGAGTACCAGTCTCTGTATCGTCTTTTATTTCTGCAGTCACTACCTCATGCATCAGTAGTTCTTCAACGTCTTGGGTATCGGTTTCTGTGTCATCTTGTATTTCCTGCAGCTTAAATAATCTATCCGGGCAATTAAAAGCATAGTGACCGTTCTTGTCACACCTGTAGCAGACAATCTGTGATTTATCTTTGTTCTGAATGTTGCCACGACCTCGTCCTCTACCTCGCCCTGAAGACCTTCCACCTCTTCTACCCCTTCCTCGTCCTTGTCCATAACTTTCTTGATAATCATTGGAGTTGGCATACATGAGTTTTAATTGATCATCATCTTGATCTTCATCATCACAAATCCTCTCCTCGTATGCTAGGACCACAAAGGTCTCCGTGAACCAGATCAAGAGGTTTTTCAGCTCGGAATGCAGTTGCTCTGATACCATTTATTGGGTTTTTCTAAATTCATGTCCAATTTCCAAAATTAGTATGATATTATCCGCTTTGGGCCCAACTGATAAAGCCCGCACGGATTTATTATTGGGTTCCTTCCCAAAAGGCCTCATACTAATTGGAGTTAGACATTACTTATATACTAGATCATATTGGTCTAAACTTACGATGTGAGACTTTGGATTGATTCCCAACAATCTCCCTGTCAAGCCAAAGTCCACATTAACTCTTGGTCTCCAACTTACAGCAATACTTAGTACCATCTTGTACTTCTTAATCGCAAGATCACCTTGAGGGTTTCTCTCCCACACCGAACATTCAGTCCAATCCAGCTTTTCCAGGTCCACTTTTCCTTAACCTAGGCTCTGATACCATTTATTGAATCAAACACACAATATAACGAATAACTCTCGCTTTATCGCTTTAGAAACTTCTCAAAACTAAGGCAATCTCAATCTCTCTAAACTCTTAAGTGGTTGTTACAACTCAACGATCCTTTTGATATTTCCTATTCCTAATAGAGAAACATATTAATTAGATAACTCCTAATTTATTTTATCCTAATCTCTTTAGATACCATATCTCGGTAGGATTAGGATAACTTCTAACTCAAGCTATCTCAAGCTTATCCACAACAATCACACTTTGTGTCGATGGTTGCTCATTGCTAAAAAGTTTTCCAGAAATTTCCACCAACATCGAATATCTGAGTCTTATTGGAACCTCAATAGAAGAAGTTCCTTCATCGATCAGGTCATGGTGTAATCTTAAAGAATTGCACATGACATACTCTGAAAATCTCAAGGAATTCCCGTATACTCTTGAAAGTATCACAGATCTTTACTTGACTGATACAGAAATACAAGAGATTGGTCCATGTGTCAAGAAATGCTCTCGTCTACGTCGACTTGTACTTAACAAAATGCAGTAGCAGGTATCAATCTCAGAGCTTCCAGATTCCTTAATGTTCCTAGATGCAGAGAATTGTGTGTCCCTGGAGAGATTAGATTGCTCCTTTAGCAATCCAGATATTCATCTCAACTTTCGAAACTGCTTCAAACTAAATCAAGAAGCGAGAAATCTCATCATCCAGACATCAAATCGTGGAGATGTGATCTTACCAGGTAGAGAAGTTCCTGCCTACTTCCCTTTTCGATCTTCTCGGAATTCCTTAACAGTGAAGTTGAATGAAACGCCTCTTCTTACATCAACGAAATTTAGAGCGTGCGTCTGCGTCGATGATAATGATTCAGTTTGGAGCGGATTCAGTTTGGTATGTAAAATCACGTCCAAACAGAATGCTGGCACTACTAGAACACAGAAACACTCCTTTGAACCAATTTTTTCGGAGCATCTGTACATATTCGATGCTGAAGCAGAGGAGGTGACTTCCACCGAGCTTGATTTTGTGTTCCAAGTCTTGGATAGCTACTCTCGCGATCTCAACAACATATGGATAAAAGAATGTGGGATACTCCAACTCTTGTAGCATCAAAGTGGCAACTAGACAATGACAGGAGATGGGAACTGTAAAGAGAAGGAATCCAAAACTGAACACAGAACGTGGAGGCAACGACAAGACGAGAAACAGAGAATCTCATATTGGTAGATGTCTGTGAGAGCCAAAACGATCTGTTTTAAAAGAGTAGAAAGGAGAAAAATTAGGGCAAAACGATTCATGTGTAATGGTATTGACAAAACCTCAGCACAGAACAGAGCTGCTTCAACAGCCTTGAACGCGTTCCTACAGACCGCAGGATTTAGTCTTCATCAGAGGTATAAATCTCAGTTTTTTTAAAGCTGTGAATACTGTCATTTATATCTTGTTTCATTTAGACTCAGTGATATGAAGAATGTATTTCTTGCTGGATAAACGTGTGAATTCTTAATCTTTTGTATATCTGCAGTCTTGAGATATCGCGGCTAAGATCACCCGATGTATCTCAAGGAACTTCAAGGAAGAACTACGAAGACTAATTTGTAAATATAAGTAAGTGATGCTCTATTTCCTGGTTTGTAAGAGTAGAGACTCCATCTTCCTATATAAATTGAAAGGCAAAACAATGAAAATTGCAGACGAAGACGACCGAGTTCAAGAGTTGCTTTTCTTTCTTGCTGGATAAACATGTGAATTCTCAATTCTCAATCTTTTGTGACTTCTGTCTTGTCTGCAGTCTTTAGTTGCACAATCTCCGTTTTTTAGATCCCTGTTTCATTTGATTCTGTTTGGCCTCTGCTATTATTCCCAGACCTTTGGTTTGTTTCGTTTTCTAATACTCGTCCCGAGTTATGTCAGTCAGATTACTTTAAACGGACAGCAACAATTCCGAAACAAATTTCGACCTATTTACCGATTACTTCTGCATTTCGTAACATGATTCAAGCAAAGAGCGAAAAATGGGGAAGAAAGCAAGAACAAGAGCGACCGAAGTAACTCAAAAATTGCATTAGTCGTCACATTGAATTTGCCTTTTTGGGTAAAAACTATGCATCAGTCTTTGCTGGAATGCTGAAGTAAACATTGTTTACCAAAATGAGGGAAATAGAAACACTTCCCAAAGTCTTTTTTTTTAGAATATTTTCTTTGTTTATATGCTCTTTCCACCTTTTGTTAGTCTCTTCTCCACTATCCAACCAAACCTGTACAGAGCAGAGAACGCTAAGTAAATTAATCAAAGCCTTGCAGACAATGGGAATTCTCCAACATCAAATCGTTTCATCCTTCAAGAAAACTTTCATGTGGCTTGCGAGGAAATACCACAGTTTTAAATTGAATAATTTAAGGCTTACCCTAAATGTAGCCGAGCATGCTAGTGTTATAGGAACATCTTGCGGTACTGCTTTTTCTCTTCATTGTCTCTAACAGCAATCTGCACATATATAGAACTTAAAGATGTTAACATCAGTTTAACACTTTTAAACTCCAAGTTTAATTCCTTAAGATTGTTTATAACCATACCGACCTTTTTCATTACAGCAGCATATTCTTTCTTGAGACCAGCTGAAAATCAACACCAGGTATCATGCACACACGTAAGAACATACTAATTAGATTTCTCTCCCAATATATTTAGGTCAGGTGTGTAATATTCTCATATATACATCAATAATGATGAAACAAACGAGTAAAATCAGTAAAAATTAGATGAAGAAACACTCACCGTCGTTAGGTTCGAATTGAAGAGCTTTCTCAAGGCTTTCAGCAGCAGCATCGATATTATTGAGAGCCATGTATGCCTAACATTACCAACAACCACAGTTATGAAACAGAAACCATATTCATCTGAAGAGAAATCCATAATATAAGTTATACCTAAGCCTAGACTAGAATACTGTCGAGCAATAACTTTTCTAAGTACCTGGCCTTGTCGAAACAATGCTTTAACATTGTTATCTTCATCACGCATAGCAAATTCAGTGTCCAACAACGCTCCTTTTGCATCTCCAAATTTCAGTTTGCAGGCCTGCCACAGGAGCCATAAATAACACGAGTACAAAATATCAGCGATAGAGGGAAGCCAAACCAATCGACTTGGACTAATGAGAACATTGAAGTTATGTGAGCAATGATTTAATCAGTTCCATAAGCAGATCTCAAGGACAAAACCAGCATAAATGGAAGATCTACAGTGTAACCAGGTTCAATTTTTAGTTCCACAATATATTTTCCAAACACATATTAACAAGGAGCGTGACCTTAACTGAAAAACATGAAACTTACGCACAAATATACAGTCTGTATAGATTTCACACACAACAGAAGATACTAAAAAGGAATATAAGTTAACAAAAGGTCAAAACATGAAACTTACAGCACTATTAGTGAAGATTTGTGACTTTGTCTTACGCAAGGCAGTACTTGTCTCTGCACACAAGGAGTCAAGGAGAGACGGTGAGTGACAGACATTGGTATGCACAGTACCAAGATCCCCTGAGATGCAGTTAATGTAAACATATATAGAGGAAAAATGATGAACCACCTTGATCAATGCCCTCTTTCTCCCAGCAAATATCCAGATAGCGCAAAGCCTTGCGGTACTTTCTCAGAGCCATCTTGTAGTCTTGTTTCTAAGAGTAAATTGATGTCAACAAAAAACAGATCAGATTCATAGAAATAGAAATCTCGAACATACGATTCAATTGAAAACTTAAAGAGGAAAAACAAAGAACCTTAAAGTGCTCGTTCCCTCTAGCCTTGACAAAATCAACAGTCTCCATCCACCAAGACAACTCTACCGGGCTTTCGTTTAGATCAATAGGCCAGTCAGGGTACACATCACCGTCTTTAAAAAAGTTACATATCCCATCATCTTCTCCCTCAGGAATCTCTCCACAGTCATGAATCACAACATCCTGAGAAGGGCAAGCCTGTTCCTCCGTTGTAACATGCTCAATCGACCGAACAACACCCATTCCTTTCGTAACCTTGCCAAACACAACATGTTTCCCATCCAGATGAGAAGTTCGGGTCGTCGTGATGAAAAACTGAGAACCGTTAGTGTTGGGGCCAGAGTTAGCCATAGAGAGCATCCCTTTCCTCTCATGTTTTAGGTCAAAGTTCTCATCTTCAAATTTCAAGCCGTAGATAGATTCACCACCAGTACCATCATTAGCTGATATGTCTCCACCTTGAATCATAAACCCCTTGATAACACGATGAAATCGATTCCCCTGAAACAAATATCATAAAGGAAACAGCTTAATACTTGTTCATGAATCTAAATGCATCCATCCACTAAAAATCTCTCCTTTACAGTAAACTAATTGCAAAACTGAAAAAACCCAGAAGCTATTTAGGCATTCAAAACCAAAAAGACAAATGACCCATAAAACCACAAACCCTAAAATCGCAGAAAACACCAGATACCCATTTCGTAGAAGCAGATACATACATATAAGAGTGTATATACATAAACGGAGAAGGAGAGAGAGAGAGACCTTGTAGTGGAGAGGAACGCCGGTATTGGGACCTATGCCTTTCTCGCCGGTGCAAAGCGATCGAAAATTCTCGGCGGTTTTGGGGACGACGTCATCGTAAAGCTCCATGACTATCCTTCCTTCGAGCTCGCCTCCAATGCTAATGTCCATGAAACACCTTGACTTACCCATTCTTCTTTCCTTTCTCGCTTTTCTTCTTGTTCGATTCTCTCTAATAAACCGAAAAACGCGACTGTTGCTGTATCTGTAAAGAGGGAGAGAGAGGGAATCGGAAGAGACAAAGAAGGTGGAGCAACTTTCTTGGTCTCACTGGCTCCGTCTCTTTAGAGACTGTAGAGGAAGACTTTGGAAGAAATCAAAACGACAGAGAAGAGACGCATGAGTGAGAAAACCCTAGGACCCACTTTCTTCTCCAATAAATTTGTCTCTATTTATTTGATTTATTTTTTGTTTGGATAAAATTGATTATTTCTAGTCCCTTCGGCTACATTCATATACTATAAGACTATAAGTCACACTATAAGTCTATAACAAATGGATAGTAGGTGATTTACCAACTATGCCCACTAGACAATAAATATTTGGTTCTATCTTCTTCTTTTTTTAAAAGAAAAATAAATCTTGGTTAAAATAAAATATTCATTATCAAATAATATAAAAGAGATATGTTCACTTTAGATATTAAAAAGAAAATAGTTGGAAGTTTTCGAAGACTAAAAAATTACTTCAAATGTTAAAATTTATCAAAATTGTGGATGCGAATTTGGATTCTATAATATAAACTTTTTTTTTTGGTTTGAGGCGTTTGTTTTATATTTTTGTATAAAATAAACTGAAAGGATTATCCTTTCCAACTAGTCCTATCGGAGAGCCAAAAGAGTTTACACCCTGACACAGAGTTGTGTAAAAGCTTTGAGGAAGCAAGAGTTTTTGTGAAGGCGGATTTAACAAAACCACTGTTACAGTTTTGAGGTGGAGAATGGTAAAATCATTGAGGTTAACTATGTGTATCCTTGGTTACCTGCTCGATGCTCAGGATGCAAAAAATGGGGTCACAATTATGAGGAGTGTTTGCAGCCAAAAGAAAAGAGAGAATTGGAAGAACCTACTTGGCCTGTCAAAAGTATTAATAACGAGGAGGGTATAAGTCTGGTCAAGGAGAGGGGTGAGACCATTCGAAGTAAGGGTACGGAAGCGCAGATTAAGGAGGTCCAAAGTGAGGCAGATAAAGACCTATCTTCAAAGAAACAGAAGGAAAAAAGTGGTTGAAGAGAGTGGAGAATGGATCACACCGGCAAAGTTGATCAAATCTCCAGCTAAAGTGACGAAAACTTCAAATTATGGGGAAGTCAGTATCCAGTCACGGTTCACCTCATTAAGCGGAAAAGATTAAAAATGTGAGGATATGGTATTACCTGAAGAGATAGAAGGGAAACACACATCAGAGATTGAGGATGGGGAATACCGTGAAAGAACAGAGCATTATGAAACAGAGAGAGGAATTCTGTCTGCCTTGGTAGAGAAGTTGATGGATCCAAAAGGTCTAGAACAAACGAATACAAAAGGAAATGGAGAGGTGGGAATAAGGCACTTTACACGGCTTGCCACTAAAGGAGCCAAAAAAACCGAACTCCAAGATATGAAAACGGTCTCCAAGGCCGATCCCCTTGGAAATCAAACCCGAGTCCCACCTAGAAAAAATCTTTAATATGTCAGGTTTTTTTCTGGAAAATTAGAGGTTTTAACAAAAGAAACAAGCATGACGTGGTTAGAAATTGGATTCAAAACATGAGTTTGTCTGTTTACTTGAGACGAAAGTGAAAGAGGAAAAAGCATACAGGATTTTCTCGAAAGTTTTTCCAGGCTGGTCATATCTTTCCAACTACGAGCATCATCATTTAGGAAGACTATGAGTTGTCTAGAATCAGAATGTCAGGGTCACGCCGATATACAAATTATCTCAGATGATCACATGTTCGATCTTATTAGAGGGGGAAGCAGAGGATATGCTTTATTCATTTGTTTACGCATCAAATTTTTTGGTGGATAGAAAAGAGTTATGGGAAGATCTGAGAAACCACCATGACTCTCGAATACTTCAGGGGAAGGTCTGGATGTGTTAAGTATCCTGGGCTTCCAATTTAATAGAGATGCTCAAGTTCTTTATATACTAGTGTTAGTCCCTTTAAACTTTTGATGTGGGATTCTAACACGCCCCCTCGAGATGATGGCTCTTATCAGCCCATCTCGAACCGAATCCCAATTTAGGACCGATAATAAATTCTTCTTGGGCCACCCTTTTCGGGTCAACAAACGAGACTCTGATACCATGTTAAGTTTCCTAGACTTCAAACTTAAAATCAATTGGCGATAAGTGGAGATGCCCAAAGTCCCTTATATATTAGTGTTAGTCCCTTTAAACTTCCGATGTGGGATTCTAACAGGATGATTAGTGGAGATTTTACTGAAATCTTGGAGATAGATGAGCATTCGGATCATGCCACAAACCCAGTTATCCCAGTCGGTATGAAAGATTTCCAGGAAGCTGTGAGATATTGTGAGCTAACGGATTTGAGCTATCATGGTCCAAAGTACACTTGGTGCAATAAAAGAAAGGAAGTTCTAATAAATAAGAAACTGGATCGAGTGCTTGGTAATCGAGAATGGATCATCAAGAATGGTAATTAGTACTGCAGCTTTGAAGCTGGGGGTTGCTATGATCACTTGAGATGCAAGATTTACATAGCAGAGGAGGAACAAAGGAAAAAAAGACCTTTCATATACACAAATGCTCTAGCATCCTGTCAAAAATTCAAAGATACAATCAGGGAGTACTGGGAAAAATCCGAAGATATTTTCCAATCAACGTCAGCGCTATTCAGGCTCTCGAAGAAGCTAAAAGGGCTAAAGCCCACATTACAGAGCATGGGAAGAGAGATGATGAACGACTTAACAAAGAGAACACAGGCTGCGTATATCAACCTTTGTGAGAGACAGAACACAACAATGATTACACCAACAGCTCAAACAATTGCAGCAGAACAAGCGGCTTATGATAATTTGAACAGATTGGCAGACATAGAAGAATGATACCTGAGGCAAAAGTCTAAATTGTTCTGGCTAAAGGCAGGAGATCAGAACACTAAAGCTTTTTTAATGCTATGAAGATGAGAGCTAGCAGAAACAAAATCAGTGAAGTGACATGTCCAGATGGTTCGAAAGTAACAGATAGACTGGAAATCAAAGCAGAGGCTGTCAGGCATTTCAATGAATTCCTGAACCAAGCTCCTGCTGATTATGAAGCATGGTCGGAAAAGGATCTAGAGGAGTTCATTGATTACAGGTGTGACCAAGCTGATACTCAGTTACTTGAACATGAAGTAACCGAAGCAGAGATAAGGAAAGTATTATTCTCTATGCCAAAAGAGAAATCCCCCAGACCAGATGGACTTACAGTCGAGTTCTACAAAGACACATGAGAAATAGTAGGAAAGGATCTCACTGAGGTGATTAAATATTTCTTTCGGTTTGGATTTTTACCAAAGGGGATTAACTTGACCATACTCGCTCTGATTCCGAAGAAAAAAGAGGCACAAACTATGAAGGATTACAGGCCAATATCTTGCTGCAATGTGATCTACAAGATTATTTCTAAGATCCTTGCAAACCGAATGAAAATAATCCTACCTAAGTTCATCGCTCCAAATCAATTAGCCTTTGTAAAGGATTGACTTCTGATGGGAAATCTTTTACTGGCATTAGAGCTAGTAAAGGATTATCACAATAAAAACATCACATCACGATGTGGAATGAAGATTGACATCTCCAAAGCTTTCAATTCAGTGCAGTGGGAGTTCTTGATAAATAATCTGAAACCCATGAAGTTCCCGGTGAGGTATATACATTGGATTAATTTGTGTATAACCTCGGCTTCTTTTTCAGTTCAAGTAAATGGAGAGCTGGCAGGATACTTTGGCAGCACTAGAGGTTTAAGGCAAGGATGCTCCTTATCCCCTTATTTGTTCGTAATCTGCATGAACATACTCTCAAAGAAATTGGATAAAGCAGCTATGGAAGGAAAGACTGGGTATCACCCGAAGTGTAAAGGTACAAACCTGACACATTTATGTTTTGCTGATGACCTCATGGTGTTTGTCGAGAGGAAAAAAAAATCGAAGGAGTGCTGGAAGTATTGGTGACTTTGCAAAGCATTCAGATCTCCATGTAAGTATAGAAAAAAACTACAATTTACATGGCAGGAGTATCCGCAGATGTAAGAGAAGCTATTATGAATCAGTTCCCGTTTGAATATGGAATGTTCCCAGTTAGATATTTGGGCCTTCCTCTACTGACAAGGAGGATGACATCATTGGATCATGCCCCTCTTATCGAACAGATACGCAGGAGGATAAGCTCATGGACCACCAGATATATATCCTTTGCAGGTCGGCTGCAATTACTCCAATCGGTTATTTTCAGCCTGACAAATTTTTGGATGGCAGCTTTCAGGTTACCTAAACCTTGCATAGATAAACTCTGCGCTGGTTTTTAATGGTCTGGACCTGATCTAAGCTAAAAAAAAGCCGAAGTTTCATAGAAAGTTGTTTTTCTCCAAAAACAGAAAGAGGTTTGGGGCTGAAGTCTCTAGAGGAGGTCAACAAAGTTTGTGTACTCAAGCTGATATGGCGTCTATTATCTGCCAAGGACTCATTGTGGTAAGCTGGATACAGAAATATCTTATTAAGAAAACTTCCTTTTGGGCTGTAAGTGATAATACTTCTTTGGGTTCTTGGATTTGGAAGAAGATGTTGAAATATAGAGATATGGCAAAAAATTACTGCAGAGTGGAGGTGAAAAGTGGTCGAACCACATCTTTCTGGTTTGACAACTGGAGCAGACTTGGTTGTTTATATGACCTTCTCAGAGCAAGGGGTTTCATAGACCTTGGAGTAACAAAAAACTCATCTCTCCAAGATGTTATAAACAGAGGGAGGAGACGACTACACCGGAATAATCTTTTCACACAAATTGAAGAGGAAATTGCAGACAAAAAAAAAAGAAACAGAATCCAAGGGGAGAGAGACGCATTTCTTTGGAGAGGCATCAATATGGAGTACAAAGCAAACTTCAACTCAAAGGAAACTATGGAGCAAATTAGAATCCAAAATCCTACGTGGGATCATTACCCCGGAATTTGGTATTCTGGTGCTACTCCGAAGTTTACTTTTGTCACATGGCTCTCGGCAAAGAACAGACTCTCAACGGGTGATAGAATGGAACGCTGGAACTGCAATGCACACACGGGATGCTCATTCTGCAGTGAGCCAAAAGAAACCCGAGATCATCTCTTCTTCTTATGCCCCTTTACGAAGGAAATATGGAATAATCTGGTGGGAGGAACACGGAAACAGAGCTTCACAGTTGTGTGGGAGGAGATTATGATATGGATAATTAAACCTCCATACGACAATATTACAACCTTCCTACTCCGTTACACTCTTCACACAGCGATCTACCACATTTGGTGCGAAAGAAACAATAGGAGGCACAAAGAAACACCAGTGGATCAGAAAAGACTCAAGAAGATGATCGACGTGACGGTGAAAAACAGAATAAGCTCGTTGAGGGAGCTAGGGAGGAAGAAGTATGGGGAAGGCCTGACTACATGGTTCGCAACTCGCACAACATAGTCCTTATGAGTCCTTGATAGTTTCAGAATAAATTTCTATTTTCGAGCCTAAAAACTCAAAATTGTAAAGGAAACTTATTTTTTCATTTGAGTATAATTTAACATCATATTCAAAAAAAAACTGAAAATTTCGAAAGAATCTTACGAATATAGAATCAGAATTTTATTAATGAATATTTGTACTAAAATATAAGAGATTTTAAATATGATTTTAAATATTTTTCTTATGCCTCTTAAATAATATTTTTTTGGAGACTGGTAATATCCCAAATATTAATCTTAGTATAGTGGTAATGTACAAATGTTATAAGGCCCTTGTGTGAGTTCGATTTTTCTTTTTGTTCGAGAGAGATGATTTGTTTTCGTAGTTAGTTTTGTTAGTTTTAAACTAATTCCAACAGTTTAAGCTCTTTTCAAGTCACTCATATCTTAATTTATGACTAGGATCCAAGTAGGAGGGGAAGAGAAATTGTGAAGGAAGGTCTCTATTTGGTATATCTTCTGTTGCATCAGGTCGTGCAGCTCAAGTGTCTCGCAGCGATTTTGTGGGTCTTTTTTCATATGGGTTCTGATTCGAATTGTAGGGAAAAGCTTTGCTTATGTGATCCAGTACTATGGCCTGAAAGTTTATTTCATGAATGCTTGGTTAATGTTCTACTTAGCAGCTAGGAGTAAAGATGCACACGCAGAAAGTAAGAGAACTTCATCGATGGGCTAAGATGATAATGAGTTAGATCTGTAAGATAAGCTTTCAGTTTCAAATGAGCAAACCTTGGCATTCGATGTTCAATGCCAGTGGCTACATCTCTACCAAAATAGCGATTAATTCTAAATGAAAGACAATCACCATTGTTACAGATTGGAAATTATTATTTATAAAATTAGAAATTTAAGTGTCGATTAAAGAGATAAAAATGCTGAGATTTTTTTTTTCAACCGATACAAAATATACAACTACTGTATATTATTCTCTTTTTTTTTTCAACTTCTCTACACAAGTTGTCATAGCAAAACTTTTTATAAGTTGTCTTCTATCTCTCAGTTATACTAATTGTATCTTTTAGTTATACTAATTGTACCAGTTGTCTTATATCTACAGATTTGATGAACTCTGGTTCTAATTCTAACTAAGTACAACTTACTATAACTGATACCAAATATAACTAGATACAACTGAGATAACAATATGAATTAAAATTACAATTAAATTCTATAAGAATAATGAAAAGGGGACACATTCACCGACAAAAAAAGCATGTGTGCAGTCAAAATAACATATGCGCCGTCAATTTTATACATAGTTGTACCCAGTTGTTCGTCGTACTAGATTCTCTCATAAGTGTATTTTTGCGATTTTTGATGTTTTCCAGTTGAACATTAATAAAAGTTATTACGCTGTAGTTATCCATATAATTTTTGACTACTGTATTTTATTTACAAGGTTTTCATAATAGAAGTTTTTCAAAATCATATATTTTGCCTCTTTTCCATCATAAGATGGTTAACATTCAAAGTCTTCTTTTTATCATAAGGGACGTTTGATGTGAAACCAATAATATATATTAGGGAAATGACAATTTAATGTGAACTATATTTTTAATTTCTATTCCTTATAGTTTAAGACATGTTTACACTTCTTAAATTTATGTTTTCTTTATATTATTGTTACATATTACTATTTTTTTTTTTGATTAAATAGGTGACAAATTGTACCTGCTTATTTTCATCCAGGGAGCATTCTTGGCCAAAATAATTTTTTTCTTGGCTAAAATGACTTTTCTTCGGCTAAAATGGAATTTGGTGAAATACAAATACAAAATAATTATACCTACATGTCTAGTTGTATATTGAAATTTCAGACAATATAAATAAAGAATAATTCTTAATTGTACCTATGTTTCCAGTTGTACTTTGAAATTCGAGAAATATAAATACTAAATACTTTTTAGTTGTATCTACGTGTCCCATTATAACTTGAAAATTTGAAAAATATAAATACAGAATTTCTGTTTCACCTTGTAGTATGAAACAGAGAAATACAAATACAGACTCGAAACACAGAAATACAAATACTAATACAGACTCAACATATTCATGCATCTAATCCAAGCTGTTTATCTCCATGGTTATCCACATCTGCAACCCATTTAAACTCCTTTATGTTCAATGAATATTTTCCTCTACAATCATAATATATGTTTGTGTGGCTAATGCTAATTAGCTCCTAAAAATAAAATTAAAAATAGTCATTTAGCAATTACACAAGTTGTTGTAGTAAAACTCATTTGTACCATTTGTCATATATCTCTCAGTTGTACTAATTTGTATCTGTTGTCCTATATCTCTTAGTTGTACGATTTGTATCAATTGTCCTATATCTCTCAGTTGTACTATTTGTAATAGTTGTCCTATAGCTGTTGATTTGATGAACTTTAACTTTTATTTTGGGCTTAAAAATCACTATGATTCAACAACTACAATCGATAATTTATCAATTCAAAGATCTAATCGTCTCATAATATTTGGTTACCAATCGAATTTGCATAGTGGAACAAGCAATTTTCGCAAATTCAATCTTTAAATTGTGAATCCCCAAATAATGAGAAATCATTCATTGAAAGAACTCACTCAGTCTTGAAGCTTCATCAATGACTGAGGAGAGGAACTAAGAACAAGAAACCAATTGTAGAAAAGGAGGAGTGGCCAACAAAACTGAGTTGAAGTGAGGGGGTATTTATAGAATATATGTTTGGTTACCAACAAATTTGCATTGAAACTTTACATCGGATTTACATCGAAAATATTTTCACATCGAGATTACATCGAAGTAAAGCGAAAGTTTGTTCCTCGTAAATTCGATGTAATACTTACGTCACAATTACGATAAAATATATTACCTCGTCAATTTGTCGTAATTTTGTCGTAATGTTACAACAAAATTACGATGCTCAACATTTATGTCGAATTTACGATAAAATTTGTACTCGTCGTAAATTTGACGTAAATTTATGTTGAAATATATTTGACGTAAAATTTTGATGGAAATCGGCTTCTGTATTGTAGTGTGGAGGCAAAAATCCGCCGACGAAATAGAAAGGTCGGGGAAAAAGAGAGAAAATCATGAATTTTTTTTAGTTTTGGTTTACTTTATTAACTATAAAAACTATTTAAATATTAATTTAGTTGAATAAATTTCATTAAGGTTATAATGGGTATATCACATTATAGGTGGTATATAGATCAATTAGTGGTTACCAAATTATTTTTTCCCAGAAAGTGACATATGAGCATGGCGCTCAAGAGGTCTCCAAGAGTGCATGCAATATGTAATATGAGCCCATAATCTGAAATTGAACCACACTGACATCTAGAACTCTATGTGATGAGACTCTCCGTAGCGTCAAATGTTGGTTGTGGCATACATGCCGTTTCCCGAAGAAGGTTAGCACATTTTTCGTGGAGAATAAAATCACGCTGCTTGCAACTGTAGAATGGGTCTGAACAAATTTGGAAGACATGCTGCACAAACAATGTTATTATGTAGAATCTGACCATCCATGCTGATTTGTACGTTATGACCATGGCTCCAAAATATTTAATTGTCTTGTTACCAATCACGTCCAATGGCGCATGTTATTTCTATTTAACGGAATCCTTAGGAAAAGTTTCAGGTGTCCCTTTAATAACATTTTATTTTGACAACTTTTATGGATCACTTTCAATATCTTATGCAGGTATTTTTACTCAATTTTAAATTTTTTATAAGTGTTTTCCATGTTTTGGAGTTTTAAAAGGCTTTTCAGGAAACTTGGGACTTTAGAATGCATTTTGGAGCAAAAGTACATTTTTGGATAAATTTAGGCCGTCAGAAATTTGGCAACCATTGAAGATCTTCTCACAGTCCGATAATCCCCAAATTTGGAGACATTATAGAGGAGACAACCAGCTTTCCAACACACTTGAAATCAAAACAATCCAACGGTTAGATCTCAAGATATCATCAATGCACTGAAAGCCGACCAACACAAGTCCAGTCAAGCACAAGTGCTTTAACCCGCGGCCAGCCTTCTTCCCACCGCGGCTCAGGAGGTTTCACCCCCGGTGGACCTATGTCCGAATCTCAGGAGCCCAATTAAGGCCCAAGACACTTCCTGCACCCATTTTACAAACTCTAGACGCCCAAGACTTGGAGAAACACTATAAATACTCATTTTTAGGTCTTTTGTAAGAGAGCCTCTTTCTTCTCTTTGAGAGAGAACTCATTTGTAGTTTTAGGTTTTATTTTTATGCATTTGTAGAAGCTCTCCATCGCCATTCTGTCTTCAACTAGAGAAGTTTTTCTGCAACTTTGTTTCTTTTATTTTTCTTCTTCTTAGTTCTAAACCGATGATGATGTCTACCTCAGTCATGTCTGAGTAGTCACCTAGTTGGGTGAAAGGGTAATCTAAAGGGACCCCATGTTCGAATGAAATCTAGGTTTTTAGGAAAAAGGATTTCGATTTTTTTTACATGATTCTCCCATTCATCCAAATCTCAAAGCGGTAATTCTGGTTTGATCACTCAGAATCTGATCCTAGGTTTAATCCGACCCACGAGAGTGTTGTATATGGGTTGCCTGAACTGGATCTTATGGACGTCTCCGTCGTAGGAGACGAAATCTACCTACGTAGGATACATAAGCAGAGATGGAATCCGATCTACAAAGCATGATCTTGTTCTGCATGAGAGCGAGAGTTAATTGCCATGAACAAGTGATTAGATGATTAGGGTGACGACAGTTGGCTAATCTTACATGTGTATATCCTATTTTCAGAGTCATAGAAAATATTTGCTTAAATTCCTTGTGTTTTAGAACATGAACCCTAAAGATGAACCTTGAACCCAGCGCTTTTTCCTTACTGTTTTTCAACCGATTTTTACTTAAAGATTTTTTTCTCTGCATAATTAGAGTGACAAACCAAAACCCTTTTAAAGTTTACGATTGTTTTTAGCATCAGTTAG